AAAAAAATTAATATACAATACATTTTTTTAGGATACATTTTAAAAAATAATAGAAAAATAAAATGTTATATTTTTATCCTTAGTTATAAAAATAATTTAAAATAAAATATAATTAGTGTTAATTATATTAAATTACTTGTGAGTTATTATTATTATTATTATTACTATTATTATTAAATTTAAGGTTTAATCAATTAAAAAATTAAACCCAAAGTGAACTCTTTTCTCATAAAAGTAAAAATTTATTAATGCAAAATCAATTCTACCACCAATAACAGCCTCACATGCTACAGGGGTTGCACCACCATATCTTCAATTCCATGCATGCTTTATTTCAAAAATACATAAAGGACATTTAAGTAAAACTACATGAATCTCTTCAAATCTCTGTGAGGATTATTTTTTCTTGTAATTCGCAAATCCATTCCCTGATCATTGCAAATCTTATAAAGCAAAGACAATATATTATTTTATCCATTTGTGTAATTCTTCAGTAAATTATGTTCAAGTGAACAGAACACTAAACTTTAAAACTGAGAACAATCACTACCATCTATATAACTTCTATGCCACTTGTATCTCCATAACTTTATCTTCTTGTTTTAGCCTAACTTAATTTGAGGAGGAGACTATCAAACAATAATAAAAAATCTTCTTCTTGCAAAAGCACAACAATGTTAGCATAACAGTGACAACGTTACATTCTTTAAAATTTCGTAAGTACTATTATTGTCTTTTTCCTTCTCGCATACGGTTATAAAGGATTGAAAATGCCTTAGAAATCTAAAAAACCAATTCAGAAACATGTGAATGGATACGATGTTAAAGAACAAGAAAGGAAAATGATGACGGTTCAAAAATTAATCATTATAGTGATACTAAAAAGAAAAAGGGAAAAAAGAAATTATTATTAAATAAGTGGTTTTTTTTTCTTCCTGTAAGGTACCGACTAGTTAGCTACTGTGGGTTTGTCCTTGGACCTTAATTATTAGTCACTAGCAAACAAGAATTCACCGTAACTTTAATGGCATTATACTATGAAAAAGATTCTTGTGCAGGAAGCAAATTGAAATGTTAAACAAATTTTGTATTTACTTGCACCAAATCAAGAGATTAAGTTGTCATAGCGTCTCGTTTTCAAGTTAAGCCTTCTTCTGTGGCGAAATGTTATAGTTCAACTTGGCGGCTAGAAGGATGCATTAAGGTCTACGGAGTAAACGCCTGAAATCAATGTTCGAACAGAACCCTTATCTTCATCAATATATTAATGCATGTTGGTTCCTTTATAAAATACAAATTGACGAAGACATTTCACCAGAAGAAACTGACGTTGAGAGAAAGGAAGTAGGGAAGGGGCGAGGAAAAAAGAAAACAAAATTGTTGTAACCAAAAAGAGAGTCGGAAAAGACATCACAGCTTTACATTAATTCTCTGCTTTTAAAATTGCCCAAACAAACAAATTTCTATTACAAGGTACACATATTCTCATGCAAAGATAGTACAAATTTTATTCGACCACTTACAGAAATTACATTTGAGTGACACCAAAGAAGCAATAGTCAAGAAGCCCAATTCAACCACGGTGCTTATTAATGGGCATACAGAATACAAAAACAACAGCTAAAAGGAAAGAGAAATATACAAAAGACAAGCACGTTCATTAATTAGTATCATGAACTCCAACAAATAGTTCAACACAAGTATGAGATATCTCATCCATCATAATCTCAAACGATGCGGTTTAAGAGCTTTGTAAGTCACCGGTGCAGAGGTTGGAACATTGGTTTCGGAACTGGGTTTTCCCCAGTGCGATTTACACGGCACTGTATAGAAAGAACTCGGATTCGGACACGTCTTCTTCGTCTTGTAAAAGTAATAGCATTCGGTGGGTGATCTTTGGTTTGGCAGCCCATGGATGCAATTATTTGAGACATCCAAAACCTTGGACTTGATCAAACTCCAGCAGGAGGGGCCAAGCTCGTTGAAGTAATTGTTGGCCAAGGAGAGATTCCCATTGTTGCGGAGAGAAGGAATTTGACAAAGGTTGTCGGGAACACAGCCGTAGAATTTGTTGTTCGCCAAATTCAGATACTGAATGCTCTTCAAGCA